AATTAAAGTAATTGGGGTCATTTCAATTATTGGTTTAGCAGAATATAGTGATTAGATAGATGTTTTCAACTTAAAATAAAAAAAAATCTGCTTGGTCGTTACTGTGGGTTTAGTCTTAGCATGTATTTAATTCCTCTTGCAAAAGGATCGGATTCCGATTGTGTCTTAGTGATCCGGAATTTCTGATTAAGCGAAGAGTTGGACTTTTCCGGCTTCAGATCCGGCAAGACCCGTGCACATCCGTGACTTTGGGAAGCGTGGTATGTAGATGGAGTGTATACTCCCACCATCTGTCCTCTGATCTAACTTATAGAAGAATTGTACTCTCATGTACCAGTAGTTTGTTCGGATAACCATTGAAGGTGAATATCAAACAGTCTACCGTAACCCTCGTTTAATATTAGCATTCAAACCAAATAAAATACTAAATTTGGAACTTTTTTCCGGTTACAAGCAATGAACAAGTGCTTCGTATTTCTCCATCAAATCAGTCATGGGGCACAAATTAGAACTTCCACGAAAGTAGGAATTGCGAACTGGCTGCTGTATATATGAAGATCAAAGGTTCGAGCTTCGAAATGATGGTAAACTTCAGCCGTTACAAGCAACAATAACAATAAGGAAAAATTAACCAGAGCCTCGAAAGAACAAGTAAACTTCAGCGCTTACAGGTTACGATTACGATTACAGAATTTTTTTATAAAATAAATAACTCAAAATAGAAGAACACCGCAGTTATGAACGTTGTCAAATCTGTTATTATTCTATCTATTATACTCACCACTCTAATAAGCAACTAGTCAAAGTTTCCTTTCGTGGCGTAGCTAAGTTAACTTTTAACCGAGCTTAAAACCGAAGCGTTAATATTTTCCTCATAAGAGACACTTATTTGCTCTGAATATAAACAAAAACCAGTATGAAGAGTGCGTAGAGGTCTTTCCCTTCTTCATAAGTAAACAAAGCAAAGCTCATTATAGTTTGTCTATGTAAAGAACTTCTCTAGCTGTTCGTCTGGAGTGGTGGCGGTGACTGTGGCTACAAGGTTTAACTATTTCAAGAAGGGATGTTGGGTCATTATATAAGATAGATTTTGACTCGAGTAGGGGGTCTGGGGATTAAGCATCTCCTCTCTTTAAAATGTGCTATTTCTTGTTTACATAGCAGCAAATGGCCTTAGATTTCGTGGCGAGGGGAGTTCTTTTTACCGACAAACTATAAACGTATTAGAACTTTATTTCTTGCTTTACTTGTGAAGCATGAACATCAAGCCAAAACAGTTAAGAGTCTCCACCTCATACGCGTTGTGCTTATCTAAGTCATGTATTGTAAAAAAGTAAATTTAATTTAAAAAAAAAACACTCGTAGATTAGTAATCTTCCTTATGTTCCTTAATCTACTTGCTGTACAAAACATCATAAATAATCACGTTTTTATTTAATCTGCGTTACAGTGAAAAAAAAGTGTTAAAACAAATGTTAAGAAATTTGTTCATAAAAATGCATAAGAATTATTAAAACGTTGCACACTGTAAATGTTCGAAAACTTCATCATCTCCTTGGAAACCCAATGCAAATTTATTATCAAAGTAGACCATGATAGCAATTTCATAAAATATTTTGAGGTGGTATTATAAATGCAGCTTCATTTATTAAACATTACTTAGAAAATTGGATTGGAACAGCTACTGCAGGGAGTTAAACACGCTTCGCTATCTGACATCTAAACTTTTCCAACGGACGGCATTGTCAACCGTGAAGGAAAAATAATCATTTTAATTCGTCCGAACTTGTATTTTGTCCTGAAAATAGTGTCACGACATTGTATTTTTCATTAATGATCTAGTTGCAGGTCAAAGGATCGTAAATGCAGTAATAAAATATTAATTTATGCCAACATTTCTAATGGTCACGAATGTAGTCAAATGATAGGTAACATGTGTCAGAAGTGGAAAAGCATTATTAAGTTTTGACTTATGAAGTAATGATGACATAACTTTATAAGCATACATTTTCAAGTACATTACTTTATGAACATAATTAATTACTCTAAAATTAACTTAAATCATGTGGTTTTCTTTGCCATAAATTATACACCGGGTGCATTATTTACTCAGCTTTTAACTCAAATGACTTTCAACTGATTTGAGTAGTAAAAAGATGACGTTAACGCACAGTATAATAAATTTATTTTACATGGCTTTGTACAGTGAGAAAAGGTATTATCAAAATTATCAGAATATGATAACACTTATCATGTTTCTGGGTCGATTGAAACATCAAAAAGCTAGGTAATTTATACTGAAGTGCCTTTGTAATGATTTTGGTAAAATTATCAATAAAATATGGCTTTAGAATAATTGATGAAATTTAGTAAATGTGGTAAAATTTGATAATTTTATCTGCTTGCCTTAAAATCATTTATTTGGTTAAATTTACTTTCAAGTTTTGTATTTCTTACAAAATTTATGGTAAAAAAGGTTTATAATTTTAAAAACCAGAATTTCGGGTAAACCATTACCGTGTAAATAGAAATATTACCATATGAATGGTTTAAATACCGTATATCTTGGTTTATATTGCCACAATTATATTTTATTTATTCATTTTTCTTCTTTATTTTAACCAGAAACGTCCTTACTACACAATACGGTAATTTTACCAGACATTTTTCTCAGCCTACTATTTTGCAGTACACGGAAATATTATCAAATGTATGTTTTAAAAACACTTTTTTGACTTTTTTTTAACCAAAATTATGTTTTCTTTTCTAGAAATATCAATTTTTTTAAACTATGCTTCATTCGTTTCCATTTAGCACAATGATTATTTCTTTCCGGTAAGAAATAGATTATTTACGAAATAAATTTTTTTATCATTATAGAATATAGCGAAAAAAACCATTTAAGATTGAAACTTTTCAGCCAATATTTTTTTTAAAAAAATTCTATATAATTTTTTATTGTGATTTATTTTATAAGGCTCTAGTGTTTGTTTATCAAATTTTTAAAAATTTGATTTTGAATTTTTATTTCTATTAACCAATTATATATTATTATTAATTTATAAACTAGCTGTAAAATAAGTTTACTAAGCCCCCCATATCATTTTAACCATATATATACACTTTAATCAAATCCAATTTGCCCAATCATTCCTGAAGTCCACAAATTATTCCTGTCTTGTAAATTTCAATCGTTATTTTAAAGAAGAAAAAAAATTCAATTTTCTTAAATACTTTATAAAATACCACCTTTCTAAATTAAAATATTTTTTTAATACTGTGTTTAAGAGATATATTATTTTAGAATGAAGACTAGTTTGTCAATAAATTTTAAAAATTATTCTAAGTACCTAATAAATCCAAAATAAAATTTTCCGAGTGTCGATTTATAGTTTCTTTATCACACATTTTGTGTTTTAAGTCGACACCTGAAATAATTAATAAAATTCTACGACCTATAATACAAAATTAAAATTAATATAATTCCAATTATTTAAACGTGCTTTCACCGTGAATTTGGAAATATATTTCATCCTGTTGTTTCTCTAAACATCAGAGTCATCGAAGCTAGAATAAAATGCAAACAAACTTTTTTTTATCGCCGATGAACATTTTATTCTGCACTCAGTTTAAAATTCGTGTTTAAGAAAATGGGCATAACTTAGATTGTTTGTTTAAGAAAATGGACCTAGTTCAAATTGCATGTGTATGAAAATGGTCTCAGCTCAGAATGCGTGTTTAAGAAAATGGACATAGCTTAAGATGCGTGTTTGAGAAAATAGGTACAGAAAAAAATGCGCTGCTTCTACGATCTACCCAAAGTTAGTAAATAAACTAGGAATTTCGTACTTAATTTTCCTTGTTTTTTAAAACACCAAGCATAATCGTTATGAAATAAAGTTATAAGTTTGGGATAGGGGATTTAGCTGAGGGCATTACACATCTAACTTTTTGAGTGATTACTTAAAAAAAAGACGAATTAAAAAAAATTACTAAATGATATAAGCTTTATAAGCATTTGAGTCAGTTAAATTTTAAGTTTATGCATCGCATTATGAATTTATTTGGATCAATAAATTTATTCTTAAAAGAACAATTCTATAGAAGAAGTTTGAAAAAGTGGGTTCAAATGCTATCCTCATTTTCCAAAATAGCTATGTCCAATTTCTATCAATCATTTTGTACTGTGTCGATTTTGTTAAACGCTTACTTGTTACTCATGTAATATTACGCATTTTGGTATTTTATGCACTCTATTTTAGATGATATATTACATCCTGGTCAAGTTTTTAAAAATCAACTAGTTTTTGGCGGATTATTTTGCCATCTAAGCCTTACCTGCATGCTAGCAAAAAGCACATTTTCCTGCTTGCTAGCAAACAGAGATAGAAAAGCAAATGATTTTAAAACATATCAGGGGATACACCCATATTTTGAGCTATGTCCATTTGCAAAATTGCTACTTGTGTTTAAAGTAATATTACGCGATATGGTATTTTGTGCAGCCTGTTTTAGACTAAATATTATGTTTTGGTTTAGTCCTTCCATTTCCTCCAGTTTTGATGGATATTTTCTTTTTCTATGTCTTGCCTGAATGCTAACAAAAAGTAAATTTACCTTCTTGCTTGCATAGAGAGATAGAAAAGCATATAACATTAAAACAGGTAAGAGGTTAAGCACGCATTTTGAGCTCTGCCTGTTTTTTTCAACATGCATTTGGAGCTGTGCCCAAACTGAAACGCTCACCGGCGACATTTATTTCCCTTTTGCTGCTTTGGATACCCTTTTATGAGAAACAAAACACCTTGCAAGGAAAGGCAAGCAACATATTGCATATACTTTGGTTCATTATTTTCTCTAAACCACCGAAAACAGTAAAGATTAAAAATCAAGATCCATTTTTTATCCATGATGCTCATTGTTCTATTCTTTTAAATACATTTTTTCCTTACCAACGATGCATTGTATTTGATTTCCTAAATATATATTTTTTTTTACAGTGCGCCCTGTGACTGTGGTACAGCATCCACTTTTTGGCCCTGAACCAGTAGTAACAACATGCACAAACTGTGGGAAAGAAGTAACAACGGAAATCAGCCGACACACCTCTGCTTGTTCATATATCACGTGTATTCTAAGTATTTTTATTTGGTAAGATCATTTATACGCAGTAGAAAAAAAAATTATTTAACAATTGCAAAAATCTTTTTTTTTTAATTTCTCGCGAAATTTCATTGTTTCAAAAAATTCATTACTATTATTCTGATCTCAAAGTTTTATTGATTGTACTGAAATATAGATCAAAATTCATTATAAAACTTCGTAAATGGAATAGACATCTTAAAAGTAGTCTAAACTCTATCTTCCTCCCCGTTACCATATTTCCCTCGAATTTTTCTTTTTACCTACATCAGTGTATTGCCATTTGACACTGAAACTTATCGCCGTGGGGGAAGATAATGATTTATGGTAACCATGGTAATAGGGAGGGTAAAAGAGTGGAGAGTGAGAAAATTGCGTGACTTTGAAACGCCTATTATATTTACAAGGAGTATAATTATTAAATAAATGCATATTTAAGGGTTTAGAATTTAGAAAAAAAGCAATTACACTCTGAAGGCTTTCTTATTTTTAATTTTCATATTTTTTTTTTCTTTATCAGTTATACACTTTTTTAGTTCAATGTTATTCCTTCTATTAATTGCATAAGTTTACAAATTACCTCATTAATTATCAAAAGTTTCTCTTATGAGATTTGTCGTTTATAGTAATCCAACCATTTCTTGCATCTATCCGGTCCAAAATTTAAAAACATCGTAACCTTTAAAACTTGACATTTTTCTATATCTAATAAGGTGCATCCAATTACCTAATAAGGTTCTCCTAATAAGGTACACCTAACACGGATGCTAATTAGGTAAAAGGGGAAAAAAATCAAGAGTTATGGGGTTTTCTTCTTGCTTCATTTCTGTAAAATACAGAAAAAAAGAAAAATGCCAAGGGAATTCATGAATTTTTTGCATGCATCTGAATCAAGAATACAGGCATTATAGAAAATATCCAGTCATAGAGAAATTATTAAAAAAGAATTCAATATCAAATGAAACAGTTTATCATTATAAAACAGTTGGTTATAAGGCAGGTTTATACACACCGAAGAGCCATTACATTATGACCACCCTGCTAATAACATGCAGGACCACCTTTAGCCCTCAAAACTGCTAGCATCCGCCGTGGCATTCATTCCACAAGGTGCTAATAGGCAGTCTGAGGTATCTGGTACCAAGGGCTCACCAACTGGTTCTACAATTCCCTCACATTGCGAGGGGGTAGCGTGGCAGCACGAATTTGGTTTTCCCAGGTGAATTTGGGGGCCAAGACATGACTTAAAAGTCACTGGAATGTTCCTCGAACCAATCCACAATACCCGTATGACATGGTGCATTATCCTATTGGCAAACACCATCCCCCGTAGGAAAAACTGTTGCCATGAATGGGTGAACCTGGTCTGCAAGTAGCTTACAGACTATGTTCAAGTAGCTTACTGTTTGTCTACGATAGGTACTCTGTCCGCCACAAAGTCTGCGGCAGTCTGGTGCTATGGAAACAAGAAGAGAGCATTTTAGGGAGGGTGGCTTCGATGAAGAGGTCTCCTTTTCTTTCGCCTTCGATGATAGCTTGTATGGGGAGTATACCAGATTGGCTGACTCAGCCACCAGTAGGAGACTTATTTAATCTGATTCAAGAACTTTTTTAAGATTCGCATGAATATTTCTTTCTTACTTAAAATAATTCTCTCGATTCAATCAGTTGTTATTTTTTAAATACAAAGGAAAAAAAGTGAACAAATTCTGACATTAAGGGTAGTACAGGTTTTTTTAATATTACTTTTTAATTTTACGATATTTATTATGAATGTTCATTGATTGTTAGATGGTTTAATTTCTAAACTTGCACATTTTTTAAAGCAGTTAATTTCTTTTATTACTTGAATTTTCTGGAAAAAGTGAAGAGCTTAAACTTAATAACTCTGATTTTAAAAGGAGATAAAACTTTTGCTGAAAATAAAAATAGTTCACGTTATCTGTGCCGGAGAAATATTAAATATCTTTGTTTTGATTATTAATTTTTAAATATTTTATTTATTTATTTATTTATTT